TTCCTGGGGCAGGGTAGCTGGGGTGCTGCTGGGTTACTCCAGCTCCTCGGCGCTACTGGAGCAACCCAGCACCCCCCCAGCTGCTCTGCCCCAGGCGTCCCCAAGTCAGCTTCTGCTGAAACTGACCAGCGCTGACTACAGGAAACCCCAGGCAGAGTTGCTCTGCCCCAGGCTTCCTGGAATCAGCCGCTGATCAGTTTCAGCAGCAGCTGACTTGAGGACGCCTGGGGTTCTAAAGGTGAATCTGTATGTAAGTCAGAACTGGCCTCCAGATTCAGCCGCTGTTGAAACTGATCAGTTTCAGGAGCGGCTGAATCTGGACGCCAGTTCCGACTTACATACAGATTCAACTTAAGAACAAACCTACAGTCCCTATCTTGTACGTAACCCGGGGACTGCCTGTATAAGAAAAAGACCAGTGCTTAATTTATAATGAAAGATGTGGCATAGCTCAAGCAATTTTTTTTACTTTTCATAACTGACATAAGCAAGCACAGAGGTGCCAGAGCTGTGAACTGTCAAGCCTAGGTGCCAGGGCTCAGCCCTAGCACAATTAATCACTGGAAAGGGCTTAAGGATAAGGCATCTATTCCAAGTATTACAACTCTAGTAGCTACATTAATGTCTTCCTCACTCTTCTTTCTTCACTTTTGATGTTATTCATGATACCCAACGTAGAAAATCATTGCTATCAAAGACTATAAGTAGCAGCTTTAGCTGACCCCTCAACCCCATTTTTGGAATACTAAACAGAAGCCAAACTTTCCCCAATGAGGCTACACATTCAAAAAGAAAAATCAATTTCCTTTTTTAAAAACCTGTTTCATATTCCATTTTTATTTACATGTAGCTATGTAGGTTAAATATGATTTTTATATTTGCCATATCAAATTATCTTCTTATATCCCAACTGTTTTAAAAATATGCTAATCTTTTATAGATGCACATTGAAGCTGCTAAAATGCTTTATTTTACTGAAGAAGAGTTCATGAAAGCTCTTGAGTGGGGAAATTCCTAATCTAGTGTTCAACACCTCAGTTCTAATTGTATGCTGTTTTGAAAGTATTTACTTACCACACGTGTTAAAAGGGATAGCTTTAGATTAATCCTGGTAAAATTGTTAGTTTTAAAAGTTCTAGTAGGATATACATGTTAATGTTAGATTGTAAATAGCTTGTTTTGCAATATATCTTGAAATGTTTTAATTAATTAAACTGTTATCTAAGGGTACCGGAGATATCCCAAAATAGCTACCCCACATCTTAACAAGCTGTTATTTTGAAAAATATTTCAAAATAACGGGCATACTATTTCAACATCCCTCTAACCCTCATTCTTTGAGGGTTAATGGATGTCTTGAAATAGTGTGTTATTTTGAAATTTGGCGCTGTGTAGATGTGCCAATTTTCAAAATATTCTATTTTGAAATAGAATTGAAATAAGATACACAATTTGCCTTACACAAACTGCGTATCTTATTTTGAATTTAGGGTGCTGTGTAGATGCACCCTCATTGGCTAAATGGTCTATAATATTCCCACTAACTGTAATGGGTTATGCAAGCAGTATAGAGAGAAGACTACATTATGTACACATCTGTTTTGGTTATCAATCTTTTGTTTTCGTACTGATTCATTTTGAAATAAGATGAACTGATACATCAACATTACCTTTTTATATGGACAGCGAACAAGAGTGATAGTTCAAAAACCTCATTAATGGGGAAGAAAATACTTCTGATCCATTTTACAACTTGGATGAAAAAACTCACCTTTATTGTAAAAATAAACGTATAGGAATGATGTAGGAATAAGAGTTGTTGTCCATCCCTCCTTAATAGCTCTTTATAGTCTTAGTTTGGTTTGAATATTAACTACATTAGTGGATGGTGACCATCTTGATTTTAGTGATATGAAAAGGTAACCAGCGACCCGGTTAACGTCACCCTTGACGGGTAACTGGTTACCCGTTCACATACCTAAAATCAGGATGGCCAGCATCCACTAATGTAGTTAATATTCAAACCCAACTAAGACCCTACACTGTTCCCATACCTTAATGGGTGATGCTTACCGGTAACAGGTTAACCAGTGTCCAGGAGTAGCCGGGCCCACTATGCTGCAGCCCAGGGCCCAGAAGCTGGCAGTTCTGTAGGGCTAGCAGCAGGCAGCCCCATGGGGTGGGGACTGCTCCGGCTGACCCTCCCTCTCTGTGGGATTCTGCTTAATTGGTTAACCAGTTTAATAAATTAACATTACATTTAAGGAGATTTTAGATTCCTGCTTGATTTATAGAAGATCTGATAATTTGCCATTGTAATTAAATCTATTTGATAGATTAGAGAATTTTTGTATATTTTGATATGGAAATATTGTTTTAAAAATAAAGTTTGGCATCTTACCCTGCAATTTTAAAGTGATAAATATTGGCATAATGTCAGTGTAAAATGAATTTCTCTATTTTCAGCAATATTTAATAAACTATGTTTGTCTATGGAAGTGTTTGTAGTTGAGTATTTTCTTGACCCCATTCATTTCTCCTATTTTCCTGTCTGTCTTCATATACTGTTTTCAGTCCCATCTGTCCTATAGGGTTTTTTTTTTCATATTAAATGCACATGGCTGTGTAACTGTTGGATGAAAGTAATTATTCTTAACATAATTCACTTAGTGTTGCATACTTTACAGTTTAATCTAAAGGGCCCCCAATCATGAATAATAGGCTACACTGTGCTAGGTGGTGTCCAGACACTGTAATGATTTTATAATCTGATTGCAATCAAGAACAAACAGACAAAACTGACTGGAAGTGAATCAAATATTTTGTGTATGTCCAGTGTAATAATGTGGACACAGTTAAGTTTGTGCTGTTTATATAATCCATTATTAAATCTAAGTGGTTTCTCCTCACAATTGTTAAACAACATACAATTAGGACATAAACCTCATCTAATCATTTTATTTAGAGCTTTGTTCTATCACATGATTTTAAATGTGCTTGAGTCTTTGTGAACCTCATTTTTCTGATTTAAAGAAATGCCTAAAAGAGATTTTGCAGAGCTTAGAACTCCTTTGGCCCAAATTTTAGATTGCTTTTCATTTTAACCATTTTTGGGTAATATGAAAAATGAAACTGAACAGTACAATTTTTTTTTAATTTCAAGTGAGTTAAACTATAGAGAAAACAGAAACAGTACATATCAAAATGTAGACTGGCATCTTTTAATAATCTCATGTAAATGCAGGTAAGTGACTGACTGTCATTTAAGATAATCATATAGTCAGTGCTGCAGTATGGATCAGTGTCTACACAGATATCTGAAAAGTTCCATAGATCAGCAAAGTCAGTGATTGGACATTTTGTTTGAATAACTTAACAGCTGCTTAATCTAACTTTAAATTAATACATCTGCCACAGCATCATATCAAGGGACCATATTTAAATCAGTTATCTCAATCTCACTCCTGTTTTCATTTTTTGACCAATTACTGTTATGCGGGAAGTAAGCTTGTGCAAAATAAGGAAGCTCTTTGCTTTTTTTTAAAATAAACGTGTTCAGTTTGCCTGGTTAATAAGAATCTGCCTCATAAGGAGTTAAATAAAAGGAGGAAATAAATAGGAAATGAAACAAGGGCAAGGATCGGTTAGTTTGAGAGAATACAGGTTTTTGAGGAAACAATTATTTTGAGGAAATTATTGGGGTTACAGTTATAAGTTACCTGACTCCAGCAAGGCTGGCATGGTTCACTTTCTCCAAATCAACACCTACCTTAGAAAGGCAAGCATTTTAGGCTTTAATATTGTCTAGAGAGGAAGCATATTGTCCATACAGACTCCCTAAGACAACAAACTGGAGTAAACAAACAGCCTCTCTCCCCCACCGCCCTTCTCTCAAAGGATAGAGATAAGGAATTTTACCCATAGGGCTATCTTTCCTTGCAAACTTTTGTAAGACCAATGCAGTTAGGTTTTTGTTTTAATCCTTCGCTCTGCACATTGTGTACCTTTTGTGTGACTAATGCTTTGTTTTGAGGAAGCTGTTTTTGATTCACTTTAATCAGCTGCTATTGGAACCTGTGAAACCCTTTTTTTGGGAGCCTAAGTGAATTAAAATAAACCAAACTGAGGCTATTTTAATTCTGAATAACTATCAACAAAATTAATGTAATTTAATCACTTCAAAACACACCTTTAATTAACTCAGATGAACTTTGAGTGTCCCCATGTAGGCAGAGCCCAGCTATGGATAAGATGCATAGTTCTACCCAGAAAGGGGTGAAGGTATAGTAATACCTGTCCCTAAAGAGATCAAGGAAATCAAAGGAGTTTGAATACACTTTAGCTATCTCTATACTGTGCTCTCTTGAACAAGAAACTATGCAAATGAGGCAAAGTGGTGAATATCGCCATGCCTCATTTGCATACTTAATGAGCCACCATTTTTGCACAAGGGGCTTTTGCGCAAAAAGGAGCTGTCTACACAGCTCTTTTTTGCGCAAACCTCTCCCCTCCCCGCCCCGCCCCTTCCACAAGAGCTGTTCTGCCTGAAAAGAAGCAGCAGAACAGCTCTTGCTCAAGAGGGGGGTTTTGCACAAAAATGGCGGCTCATTAAACATGAAAATGAGGTGCAGTGATATTCACCACTTCACCTCATTTGCATATTTTCTTGTGCAAGAATGCAGTATAGACATAGCCTTTGTTCTGTAACCGAACTCTTGCATTAGGAAATGTCAAAAGTCTCAGAGGGTTAGCTGTGTTAGTCTAACTTTAAAACTAACAAGTATTCTTGTGGCACCCTAGAGTTTAACAAAAATAGTATCATGAGCATTTATGGGCAAAACCCACTTCTTCAGATAAGCTGGAGTGGGAAAAAAACCAGGAAGCTAGAATGTATAACAGAGGGAAGGGAAATAGCACCAGCACTACAGCTGACAGATAACAAGGCTAACTGAGTGGGCTGGAAGTGTACCATATTTAGCTTTTGATGTGAATGAGGTGTTAAGTATATGGAAGGCTGGTTTTATAATGAGACATCCTGTTAATGTCTTTGTTCAAACCTAGAGAAAATGTTTCTCTCTCCTTTCTTTTTCTGTTATAAATTCTGGGTTCCTGTTTTTTTCCATTGCAGCTCATCAGAAGAAGTACGTTTTGCCCATGAAAACTCATACTATATATATTTGTTAGTCTCTAAGGTGCCACAGGATTACTTTGTGACTAGGAAATGTCTTAACTTATAAAACTGCAATTCCTATCATCTGTCCAGATATCAAGTTTCTAAAGTAAACTCCTTAGCAAGTCCGTTATATCATGCACACAGTGTTTTAAAAATTTATTGATACAAATTAACTACAACAAAGACTGTAGCTATTGTAAACATTTAGAAAAAAATCTAAGTACTTAAGTGGGACCCTTTCTCATATCATTAAACAGGAATGTTTCACTAAACAGCATGTAGAAATACGATGACATCTAGTGGTATGCAACAAAACAAGTTCAAGAGAATTTCAGTTATATTCTGAATACATATCCTCTTTTCTCTTCTGATAAGCCTTCCTAAACTCCTCACCAAGCATGTTAACATCATCTTCATCTTTGAGTATTCCCTGCAATCAGGAGAAAGGAGAATAAACATTATGCATGTTACTTAACTCTGTATATCGGGGACCAAGAATACATAAATTATTGACTATACATCTTAGGTATGCCAGTCACTATAGTACTATTTTGAAACTTGAAAATAAAAACTGAGGCAATAGACTATTTCTTTTGTAAAGGAGCACAACTGCTTTGGAGGTTGAGTTCTGCAGAAAAGGACCTGGGGATTACAGTGGATGAGAAACTGGATGAGTCAATGTGCCCTTGTAGCCAAGAAGGCTAATGGGATATTAGGTTGCATTAGGAGGAGCATTGCCAGCCGATCTAGAAAAGTGATTATTTCCCTTTATTCTGCTCTGGTGAGGCAACATCTGGAGTATTGTGTCCAGTTCTGGGCACCCACCCCTTACTAGAGAAAGAATGTGGATGCATTGGAGAGGGTCCAGCAGAGGGCAACCAAAATGATTAGGGAGCTGGAGCACTTGACCTATGAGGAGAGAGTGAGGGATTTGGGTTTGTTTAGTCTGCAGAAGAGAAGAGTGAGGGGGGATTTGATAGCAGCCTTCAACTTCCTGAAGAGAAGTTCCAAAGAGGATGGAGAAGACTGTTCTCAGTAGTGATGGATGGCAGAACAAGGAGCAATGGGCTCAAGTTACAGTGGGGGAGGTCTAGTTTGGATATTAGGAAAAACTACTTCACTAAGAGGGTGGTGAAGCACTGGAATGGGTTACCCAGGAAGCTGGTGGAATCTCTATCCCTAGAGGTTTTTCAGTCTCGGATTGACAAAGCCCTGGCTCGGTTGATTTAATTGGGATTGGTCCTGCCTGGGATAGGAGGCTAGACTTGATGACCTCCTGAGGTCTCTTCCAGCCCTAGGATTCTATGATTAAACTGCTCTTAATAAGAATCTTTAATAAGGAGGTTAGAAGCTACCAAAAATCTTGTCTACATGTTTTAGTTCTGAAAGTGGAGATGTGAAATCAGTAAGAATAATAGCATCTGACATCACATAACAGAGCAAAGTATTATTTGTTTGTGATAGAGCTCATTACCAGTGCAAACAAGGATATATACATAGCAAAAGCCTACCTTGACTCCAGTAACAGTGAAGACACTGCAGCACTGATGAATTATCCAAGACGACGTCCAGGGTCCATGCTAAGCTTGTACTACCAACACTGAAGGCCACACCATGCTGACTTTATTATGATTGTTGAACCTGTGCTAACTGGATTTATTCTATCTTGGGTAGGGTAGCCTATACACAGCTTGTGCTGTGTAGGAATACTGGGTGGGGTAAGGACCACAGCAAAGAACCAACCTCCCAGATTTATAAAAATGCAGGAACAATATTAGAGAGACATTGTTGAGGTCAAATCTGACCACAAGCTTAAGTCTTAAAAAACAAGTTACAAACTAGGGATGTTAGCATATCGTCATTTAAACAGGTTAATCCTAATGACTACACCACACACATATGCCTCTTGCTGCCTCTGTATCAGACGCAGCAAGGGGAGAGGAGGTGGGAGCCAGTGCCCGTGGGGAGCCAGCTTTTAAGCCAGCTCCCTGCATGTGCCAGTTCCTGTGAAGTCACCTCCCCGCATCCCCATGCTGATGCTTCTTTATTAGAGGCAGTGGTGGGGACAGCGGAAGCCAATACATGCGGGGACCCGACTTTTAAACCAGCTCTCCATACTTGCCAGCTCTGCAGAGCTGCCTTCCCCAGATGCAGCAGTGGTGGGAGGCAGGTGGGAGACAGTGCTCGAGGAGAGCCGTCTTAAAACGCTGGATACCCACAAGCACCGGCTTCCTGAAGTCACCTCTCCTGCCCTGATTCAGAGGCAGCAGCACAGGAGGTGAGGGGGTACAGGCAGGATGCCAGAGCAGCCTCTGTTCACAAGGC